AAAGAATGAATGGAAATCCAAAGTCTCTAAATTTTCATTAAAATTATTATTATTAATAATAATAATAAAGGAAGAGTAGTGTCAAAGGTTCAAAAACTAACACTCACTGCTGTCCAGTTGGAACCAACTCACGGCTGATCCATCAGCCGGTTTTCAGAGACTGTAAACCACACAGGATCTTTCTCCCTTGGAGAAAACTGATGGATTACAACTGTCTCCCATGGGCAGGCAGCACAACCTCTGTCCACCAGACCACTAGAGCTACAGTAACAAAGGTGGGACCCAATAAACCAATACTTTACTCGGAATGGTTTTAAAGAGCTAAAACATAAAAGTTTGCCTGTTTATACACCAAACTTTAATTCTGGGTTGGGGAGAAGAATATTTAAACTTTGTACAGTCAGGCACATTTTGCACATCATTATTTTTTAGGATAATTCTTAGCAATGTGTTAAAGTTAACTTTTCTGAATTATTAGAGGAAAATATTTAATAGGGCTCATGCATTTGACTTTAAAATCATTGTCCCAGTGTTCTTAAATGTATTAAATGATTTGCTTTTGGGTTAAAGGTAAGATGTGCTAAAAGCAAATAAAGAGAGGACACAGTTGAGACTGTTTCAGTAGAACAAGGTACTTTGTTTTGTATAAACAGATCTTCTCTACTGCTCCGTGTCTATTGGAGAAAAGGCGAAGCTGGGGTTGAAGGCAGAAATGCCCAGGATGTGCTAATAAGTAAAATGTTACTGTTTGTCCGCATCCACACCTGTCTTGAAAGATCCCACACCAGAACTTACATGCCCTTGGGTCCCAAATCATGGATGAAAGACAGCTGGCTTATATCAAGGAATTCTGCCTGAAAAGAGGCAAAAATGTCACACCTTAGGAAGCAAAACAGTGAAATTTAGCCATTAAAAAAATCCTAAACAGTATGCACTGGGCATTGCAATGTGCAAATAAATGCCAGTTAGGGCATGCGACAGACTTCACGGAGGAATGACAATGGCTTGACCCTCAAAGAATGTGGAGCAGAAGCATATGAGCAATTAAAATAGAACCACTGTATCAAAGACAACCAACGGATTTGGAAAACATTTTTAGGACTCCTATATCCAATAAGAGCCTACCATACACAAGAGATAAGAACCGGTTCTACAACTGAATTAATTAATTAAATGTTCCACAACTTCATTAAAATTAATTGTATTACAACTTAATTAAAATTAACCAGTCCTACAAATTAATTAATTGTAAAAAAGACAACAGCTGCGATTTTAAAAATGAATAAAGGACTTGAGTAGACATTTCACCAACCCTTGAATAAGGACATTCAAAGGGCCAATAAGTATGTAGAAAGATGCTCAACATCACAAGTCGTTGTTGTTGCTATTAGGCGCTGTCACGTTGAGTTTGACTCATAGCGACCCTCTGAACAGCCAACCAGAATCCTGCCCAGTCCTGTGCCATCCTCGTCACCTCTGAGACACCGGAGTCCCCTGCTGAATCACTGTGTCAGTCTGTTGGGGGTCTTCTCTTCCTTTGCTGACCCTTCATCTTTCCAGGTATGGCGTCCCTTTGCAAGACACAGACTAACCTAGCTACATACATGCACAAAGTATGAAAAATGAGACTCTGTCACCCTTGCGTCCAAGGAGCACTCTGACCACCTCCTTTCCAGGACATCAGCATTTGGAGAGATGGAAACCAAAGCAACAAGGAGGTGCTACTTCTCACTTATTAGAAATGGAATTTTATTTCTATATCTCTCCAGAATATCGAAGAGCAATGACGTCACGCTGGAGCTGCTGCCTGAGGGGTGGCCGGTGGCAGAGGCTGCAGGGGGATTGACCGTGGATGATATTCTTGGTATCCTCCCACAGCTCATCTGGTCTTTGTTCATTAGTGTTCAAGGCCTCAAATCTGTAACTGAGATGGTTTTGAAATTCAGGTGGGATGGACTCAAGGTCAAATTTTGGTTCCTTAGATTTGGTTTAGTCTTCTTTAGCTTCATGGAGCTCTGGTGGCCTAGTGGTAAGAATCTGTGCCACAATCCCCATGGTTCACAGTTTGAATCCATCAGCTGCTTTGCGGGAGAAGGATGGGCAATCTCCTTCTGCGCAGTTAACTCTCTCTGCAAAGCCTCCGGAGGGTCAGTGATTAGTTGGTTCCTGACTTAACGGTCCTCAACAATACCTAAAAATCAATACAAAAGGGAAAAGACCCTCAATAGTTAACTACTCAGCTTAACATGTAAATGGCATTTAAAAAAAAAAGAAAAGGACTGAGCACAAGAGTTGTCCTTTAATGTTTTGTATATGTGACTGGAAATATGGAATATTAATCTTGCTGAAAAAATTACTAATCTCTGAAGACCTGTCAATCCTTGTGGAGTCGAACAGATATGTCTCAGAGAGGGTGCAGCTGGAGTGCTCTTTGGAGGCAAGAATGATGAGGCTTCACCTCACATACTTTGGACATGTTGCTAGGAGGGGCTGGGAGAGGGACATGAAATTGGGAAGTGTGAAGTGTTGGCAAAGGAAAGGAAGCCCCTCAGCCAGGTGGATTGACACGGTGACCGCTGCAATGGGCTCCTGTTGTCAGGAAGTGAGAGGATGGCGCAGGACAGGACTGGGTTCAGATCTTTTGTTCATAGGGTCGTTGTGAGTTGTATTCCACTCGAAGGCACCTCACAACAACAATAATTCCTTTATTAGAATTATTCCCAAAACATAGGTCTTTAAAAGGCAAAAGATCTATGTTTACAAGTAACATAAGTCACACACATCCAGTAAAACTTAAACACCTCCAATCAAATATATAATATACATACAATGCATTTTTGGTTTGATGTTTTCTTTTAAAAGCCAATCTTTTAAAGTTTCATTTCTTCTCTAAAACACAATGATTTAGACAATAATACAAAATTGATTCATAGGAAGACTTTTTAATTGGAAAATTTAGTCATCCTAAGGCTTGTAAGAAATGAGACTGCGGATTTGTCAAGCACAGAATTCATAATCTTTCCAAATCCAAACCATAACTTTTCTGTTTATCTCTAGGGAGCAGACAGAAAATGGAAATCCGAGTTTACATTTGAAGAAACTGCTACAAAGGTATAATTAATTTATGCAAAGTCAGAACAAGTGAGTTGAAGAGTAAGAAATGGAAAGTGAAAAGCAAAGAAACCCTAATCTAATACCTGGGTAGTTTTCTTATTCTCATAGCTCTTCAAATAGTTCACATCAGAAATATTCTCTAAAGTAATTCAGAAATCACAATTTTAGGTTATTGTAACAAAATTGCTAAGTATGGAGACTTACATTTAAATTTAAAAAGTATATATACATCAGTATTGCAGCAAATTAAAAGTTGTACACTAATATGAGGTTTAGATTTCCTCTAATGGTTAGGGAGCTCTGGTGGCCTAGTGGCAAGAAGCTGCTCTGCAATCACAAAGGCACGCAGTTGGAATCCCACCAGCTACTCCATGGGAGAAGGACGGGCAGTCTGTGGCCATGCAATTAACTGCCTCTGGAAACCCTCTGCAGGATCTGACTTCATGGTACACAACAACAACAACAACAATAACAATGGTTTAGAGAGTTTAACTAAAGAGAACTTTTACTTCATAGAGAAGAGGCATTTCTGAAAGTCAATGATATTGTAGTATGTATTTATCAAGTAGAAAGCAAATTTGTAAAGGTCAACTAACTTAAAGACAAAACTCACTAATAAAATTTTAAACACAGTAAGATTATGTTGTCTTAACATTTCAGCGTGTCTTTGGTGATTAGCATCTATCCTATTCTCCATTTGAGTTGGTGACTTTCAGGAATAGGAATTTAAAGATAAATTCAACACAAGTCAAGTTTGATTCCTCGTGATCTTACATCAGGTTTCCAAGATGGTAAGTCATTTAGAGAAGAGATTACCTGTATTCCTCCTGCAGAGCAGCTGGTAGATTTGAACTGCAGACCTTTTGTTAGCAGTTCAACATAAAACCCCACTCCACCGCCAGGACTCCTTACTCTATGTTAAGTGTATCCCCTGTGACCGTCCTCTATTTTCCGATTCTATTTCCTCTTCATCTCTCATCTCCACAAGCCCAAGTCTAGTCCATGTTTTAGAACCTGTTCTAGCACCAATATAAGACCCTCCACATGTTCCTGTAGCCTGACAGTATTCCGTACTCTTCCTGATCTCTCGAGTAATGTGCTAACTGATATCCTTTTTGTGTATGCATGGGAAAACAGAACTTGTGAAAAGTAAAGAAAATAATGCTCCTTGGTACTAGGTGGAAAACAGTCTCAAGGTAAGCATTCAAATGTGGCTTCACCTGTTAGATGATGAAACACTTAGGAACAGAGGGCAGCAAAAGGATTTGAATTCACAGTACAAGCAACACAGGGGCTCCAACACTGCCTGGACATGATTTGGTAGTCCAGTACACTCTGCTTGCTGAACCCCATCTTGGAATGAGAGGCAGAAGGTGATGTTCAAAAGTTCTCTTTTTGTTTTAATTTGTACTTCTTTGATGTTGTTGTTGTGTACCATCAAATCAAATCCCACTGGCACAGGAGGAGATTACCCCTCCTTCTCCAGCGGAGCATCTGGTGGATTTGAACCATGTGCCTTCAGCATTACAGTGTAGCTTCTTGCCACAAAGCCACCAGAGCTCCCTCAGAAAAAGCTCTTACCACAGCTAGGCTGAACTAATAACCAAGGTTTCTCACAACTAACAGTGACACTCACAACAAAAACCAAACATATTCCCACCAAGTCTATTCCGACTTATGGAAGCCCTGAGTTAACCAAGCAGTGTCAAGAGGACAAACAGGTCCATCCTAGAGCGGGTAAAACCAAGCTGCTCAATGGAAGCAATGATTCTGAATCTCCGTCTCACATATTTTGGGCATGTTGCCAGGACAGACCAGTCCTTGGAGAAGGACATCAGGCTTGGAAGGATGTAGGGACACCACATGAGAAGAAGACCTTGGATGAGATGGATTGACACTGTATTTCGGGTTATAGGAGCAGGTGTATCAGAGGTGCAGGCAACTCGATGGCATGTAACAACTAGGTAGACGCTCCACAGTGTTAATCCACCAGGCGCTCCACAGAAGAGAGGAGGAAGAGTGAAACTCTTGGAAACCCTGGGGGGGGGGGCGGGCAGTTCTACTGTGTTCTAAATGGTCATTTTGTGAAAGATAATGAGAATAATTCCTTAATCTGGAGATGCAGCGACTCAAATCATCACAGTTTTTCTCTGTTGGGAAGACTGTATATCTGGATTCTCTCCCCACACTTCCCCTTACACTAAAGTTATTCAGCATACAAAACAAGGATGAGATGAACTCAGTGTTATTGATCCGTGTGATTATTGATCCTCAATGGCAAGTTTATCACCTTGGAGATAAGCAATTGGAGTTACAGGAGTTAATAGTTTACTTGAAGTTAGATATATAACTATGTTCGCTTAGAATCTTCCTCTTAGCAATTGTGCAATTTTGTTCCACTTCCAGATTTTAATCTTCAGAAAGAAAAAAAAAGGACATTTACTAGGTTTAATTAATACTCCTTTCAGTTTCCTGGAAATAAGCATTTCCCAGTTCTTAATGAAAATGTTCACAGCATAAACAGCACTAATGCAAGACTAGAACACAAAATAATTCCTACATGGGATTTCATATGCTATTGTACATCTGAGCTGTATATTACTAATTTTTGGTTTTCCATATTTAAGCCTAGTTGCTGTTCTGTGCAACTGCCTCACCGTGGGTTGTAAGAGATTATAAATTGCACTGGAGAAGACTGCTCATCTTTCTACTACAGCGCAGGGTATGGACTTGAACTGCATGCCTTTGAGTTGGCAGAACAATTCCTTATGACTAGGCCACCAGAGCTCCCTTGAGAAGTAAAGGTGAGGTCAAAGACATTTATCCCCATCTTAGAAATTAATATGGAAACTGGAATGATTTACTGATAATCTCCGAGGGAACTGGCTGATGCTAAATCCATGAAAACATTAGGAACCAGAAGAAGAAAAAAGGAATAAAAACAAAAGAAGGCATCATAATCTTAGAAGAAAAGGTGCCTGAGAACCAACAAAACCATCGATGATCATATAAGAGAAAAGGTTTTCTGTATGTAACCTGAAAAGTCACTGACGAAAACGAAAAGGCCAGTGCTTTGAAGTCTAAAGTTATTCTCTTCTGGAGAAATCCTATTATACATATACCATGATAACATCTATCCATCTCCAATTTTTAAGTAGTCCAAATTTATCAAATTTCAAGTAATTTAAATTTCTGGATAAATCTTATTACCCGCATCCCAAGATAATATCTCTGCTTTTTAAAGTGGTCCACATTTTCTAATCCGACCATGACGTTCTACTTTGGTAGAGTTTTGCATCTCTTCGGGATAAGAAGCACCTGGGATATTTGCTAAAAACACAGATTCCTAATTCTGATGTGCATGGGCTTACTGGCTTGATCCTATCTGGTTTCTTAATCCATGTCTGAAAATCTTAATGGCTTAACAAAAACCACCCTGACTCACTGCCATCAAATTGGAATCCACTCCTGGCTCATCCTGCAGTGGGTTTTCAGAGGCTGTGAGTCACAAAGCAAGAGACTGTCCATCTTTTTCCATCAGGTGGATTTGAACCACCGACCTACCCTTGGATGGGCAGGGCAATTCCCTTCCCCCTGGACCACCAGAGCCCAGGAATCGTAATTAATTTAAGATCTCTTTTTCTTTTAATTTTATTATTGTGTGTGTGTGTGTGTGTGTGTGTGTGTGTGTGTGTGTGTGTAACACCAAATCGGATCTGACTGGTACTGAAGGAGATTGCCCCTCCTTCTCCAGCACAGCATCTGGTGGATTCAAACCATGTACCTCTGGGATTGCAGTGCAGCTTCTTGCCACTAGGCCACCAGAACTCCCTAAGATCTTTTTGTTTTATACTTCTAACAGTATAAATTAGTTGTATGTACACATATAAAAGAGTTTTGAATATGATTGTTACAGATAGGATTTTAATATTTCTTACAATTATCAAGGGAAGTATAAAGATGCCAATCGGATTTCACAAAAAGGAGATAAAGGGCGAGATATATATCTAGTCTCCAGGCCAGGGAGCCTAGTGGTAAGGAATTGTCCTGCTAACCCAAGGATATGCCATTCAGGTCCACCTTCCATGGGAGGAAGACAGGCAGCCTTCGCCTGTGTGGTTTCTTGCTTCTAAAAATCCACTGGATGGCCAGCTGTCTGTAGGGTCTGACTTGATGGTACATACCAACAACAGTAAGGTAAACTATATTTAATATAGAATTAAAATAACTGAATCAATAACTAATGAATATGGAATTAAAAGAAATGAAAATAATTTCTATAACATTTTATACTATATTTGCAGAAAATAATTTCTATAACATTTTATACTATATTTGCACCATTTTAGAGAATTCAGTGGGTGAACAGAAACAAGCTCCAGTCATCAAATATAAGGGAGGGAAATACAGTCAGTGGCTAACTCGGTTTTTCTATTCCAGTGGAAATAGTTACAAAACATGCTGGTGATTTTAAACACAAGATGGCTTAACTTTGAAAATACTTTAAGTCTGGAAAAGCAATTAGGATTAACACTTAATTTATTTAAACATTCTTCAACCAAAATTGCAATCCGAAAAGCAATAATGTATACAGAAACCAAAAGAGAACTCACCAGGCACAGTTCTGAAGACAAAAGAAAGAGTAAAAGTAAAGACACAAGCAGGCAGAAAAGGAAAAGAAAACAGAACATTATTTTACACTTAAATAATTCTCTATTTAAGAAAACAACCTGTCTGATTTCAGAGGACAGAGGAGATGAAAGTTATACAAGTCTTCAGGTCTTTCATTCATAGGGTTACTATGAATTGTCTACGGCTCAACGGCACTTAACAACAACACAGAGAGAGTTCTGTTGGCCTAGTGGACAGAAAGTTGTGCCACCAAGCCAAAGGTGGGTGATTTTAACCTGCAGCCCTCAGACCTGCTTTTAATTGTTTTGGTCAATTCTTCTAAGCGGTATAGCACTTGTCTGTCCACTTGCTGTACTGAGGTAACTCGTGGTTGCTGTGATGCTGAACACTGTGACCCTGATGTGTCAAATGAAATTATGGTCATCCATGGTGGACAGTGTTTGGTGGAGCTCCCTGATTAAAACAAGCTTGGAAGCAGGAGGGGCATCTACTTCCGAAATAGCTTGCCTCTGGAAACCTTAAGAACCTGGAGAAAGGATGAAAAGTTACACAAGTGTTCAGGTCTTTCGTTCATAGGGTCGCCATGAGTCGTCTATGACTCGATGGCACTTAACAAAACCAACAAGAGATGGCAGCATTTTTAGTAGTAATAGCAGTGGCATCTTTATTCCTCATGTTCTTGGTGGTTTTTTTTTATATGTATCTGTTTTTATTTCCTACTAGTTTATTAACAAAAATCAAATACAAATTTGAACAAATTCTTTCAATTTCCCTCACCCCCCCATCTATCAATTTGTACAACTCAATGATTACTCACCCCTTCCCCGTGCACACACACAAATCCCTCTGCTTCCAGAATTGGAAATATTCCTCATGTTCTCTGAACAATGCATGTTCCCAATTCTCCAAGGACAGAAATCCCCCCATTACCATTTTCTTGACATCTTCTAGCTGAATCCAAATTATTGGCTTCTCTGAGAAAACATGTCTTCAGTGCTATGACGCCTCAGACACTCCGTCAGCTCCACTGACACTGAGAGCTGTGGGCGGGCAGTGGTGGTCCTGCTCCACTGTGCAACCCCACTGGACGCACGCCTGGCCTCCCAAAATACGGCCGATGGGCAGGCCAAGCCACAAGTCATGAGAAGCTTAGCAGAGGCCAGCTGCTTTTACTCTGTGGCCTGATTAGGCAGAGGATGTGCCTCTTTCTGCTGGTGTGTGTAGGTGGCCTTCTGTAAGCTCGAGGGCAAATCGTAATCATGCCTACTCTTGGGTTTTTCACAGCAGCATATACATACATGCACTCTTCATGGCAATTCAATTTTTATACACACAGAGAAACAGCGTATAACACCCAGTGTATTTTCGGTTACTCAGATCTCTGGATAACTGAGGTTAGTCCTCTAAAAACAGCCTGCCTTCAAGGACAAGGGCTGTAAGATGTTGGAGCTCACTGTTTTCTGGTATTTTCTATGAAGCCCACTCTGTCTTCTAACTGACTGGAGGATGCTTCCATGTAAACCTAATCTCTGAGGCCATGTCTAGGCTCCACCTCCTCCCCCCTCTTTTCTCTGATTTCCCAAGAATTCTTTCTCTCTTTAACTTTTCCCATGCTTCTCACTTTTCTCATGAAAAGCCAGACCTTTTAAGATATCACAGGCCATTCAGATGATACTCACTGTATAATCTTTGGGTATTCAACTCTGCTGAACTGTTTTCATCACTTTTTACTCAAAATTAATTCTTCAGGGCTAGAAATACTTTTTGGCATTATTCAAGAAGCCTAGAGAACGATGATGATGGATTCCTAGATAATCTTAATGATGGTATAATTTCAAGTTCATTTAGACCTATTGTTAGTAGATATACTGAGTTATAGTCAATATTTTTTAAAGAGCATCAAATCGCCAAGAATGAATCCTAGATGCCAGGTAACTTTATAGTCACTTACTTTAACTTAAAGACTAGTGCTTTAACTGGAAGGATAATGTGGAAACAACACGATCCAAATCTGAGCAGACAATGTGCTGTTTTACAAAGCCCTTAAACTTTAAGTCACTGGAGAGCACTTACTGTGGCATGATAGTTTCTGTACATTGGCATTTTTAGTAACTTTGTCAAGTAATCTTCCAGTTGTTTCTGTAACACAAACATTAGAGAAAAGTTAACATGGTCATATTTACTGAAAAATTTAAAGCAGTTAGCAACAATGATGTTCTATGATCATAATTTCATTCTCAGTTTTATATATTACTCACTTATTATACACAGTATAGAGGGAGATCTGGTGGCCTAGTGGCAAGAAGCTGTGCTGCAATCCCAAAGGCACACAGTTCAAGGCCACCAGCTGCTCCATGGAAGAAGGACAGACAATCTGAGATTATTAACTAATCTGAGATTAACTGCCTCTGAAAATCTGCTATGGGTCGGTTCTGACTCAATGGTCTATAACAACAACATTCATAATATCATTTACCAAAGAATCCTGCCTACGATTAAAGCCTAATTTCCACAGTTATTTCATCATTTTCATTGTTCTTTCAATCTCTTGTGTTACTATTTGACTCTTCTATGGAGGAAGTTCTGGTGAGCTAGAGGTGGGCATTGTGCTGTCAATGCAAAGGTTGGCAGTTCAAATCCACTAGACAACTCTGAAGGAGAAAATTAGGTACTCACGTCCTGTGTGATTTACAGCCTCTGTAAACCCACTGGAGGGTCAGCTATGAGTTGGTTCCAAATTGACAGGACATAACACCAGGGGGCTCTGGTGCCATAGTCTCTAGCAAGTTTGCTACCAGCCCAAAGGCTGCATGTCTGCGGCAGTTCAAATCCACCAGTGGTTTCTTGGGAGAAAGACAGGCAGTCTCCTCCTGTTGATACAGCCTCGGAAACCCCAAGGAGGGACTGTGAGTCAGAACTGAGTGCATAGCAGTAAATTCGAGTGTTATAGTTTGGATCTTCCGTAAGCTGCTTAAACACAGAGAGCCTCAGATTTCTTTTTCGGCTTCATAGCTATCAGCGTAGGACTTGCCATTAGTAGATAATTTGTTGAAACTGGTGGAAAGAATTTGATGAATTTACCAAATATCTGCATTTCTTTAATTGTAAGGCTGAATTTATAAATGTATCATCCACTTTTTTTGGGGGGGTGGGCGAGAAAGACTAATAATATGTGTCTTGATTTCAAATATCTTCAAATCAGAGGTGGAGGAATGTCCTTCACAGACTTGCAGGCTGCGGAATAGCACATGCTAATCATGCTAACCACGCTGTCAAGTCTCTCTTGCTGAATCATTCAAGGGTTATCACGCAGCCACAGATTATCTATTCTAGTCAGACTCATCTGTGTGTATCGTTGTTGGTTTTCGGGGCCTTTGAGTGAAGTACAACCCACAGTGACCCTACAGACAATCGATTTGAATCCTGTCCTCTCTGGTGCCATCATCACGATCTTTTATAACCTTGAGTCCACTGCTGCCGTCATTGTGTCACGTCCATTTGTTGAGGGTCTCTCTATCTTTCGTTAGTCCTCTACCTTTCCAAGCATGACGTCCCTCTACAAGGAATATCCTTTCCTAGCAACCCGCCCAAAGTATGTGAGACAATGCTTTGTTATCTTTGCCTCCAAGAAGCCCTCTAACTGCAACTTGTCCAAGACACATCCATTTGTTCTTTCAGCAGTCCAGGGAATATTCAGTAGTCTCCTTCAACACCACGGTTCAAAGGTGTCAAGTCTTCTGTGACCTTATTCATTGTCCAGCTCTCAGCTTGTTGTTGTTGTTGTTATGTGCCGTCAAGTCGTTTGCGACTCATAGCGACCCTATGCACAACAGCCCTAAACCCTGCTCTATCCTGTGCCAATCTCACTGCCTCTGACACACCTATCCCGATTATCCCAGTCACCGAATCAATCCATCTCATAGAGGGTCTTCCCCTCCTGCGCTGTCCCTCCACCCTCCCAAGCATGATGTCCCTCTCCAAGGATCCGTCCCTCCTGGCAACATGTCCAAAGTATGTCAGGACGAAGCCCCAGAATCCTTGCCTCCAAGGAGAAGCTTGGTTTAATCCTCTCCAAGATGAATCTGTTTGTTTTCCTGGCAGTCCATGGTACATTCAGTACTCTTCTCCAGCACCACAGCTCAAAGGCATCAACTCTCCTGTCCTTCCTAGTCATTGTCCAACTCTCTGATGCATAACAAGCGATTGCAAAGACCATGGCCTGTATCGCTAAAAGACCATGGCTAGATCGAATCAGGCATACCTTAGACCTCAAACTGACATCATTGTTCCCCAATAATTTGGAGAGGTTTCGGACTACAAATTTTCCCAGTACAGTATGTCTCCTGAATCCTGGTGACAAGTGTACTGATTATGGATTCAGGTAAGAGAAAATTTTTGACAGTTTCAACCATTCCTTCATCCATCATGATACTGCCAATCAGTCTAGTGGGAAGAATTTTTGTTTTCTTGACATTGAGATGCAATTCATATTGAAGGCTGAATTCTTTGATCTTTTGTGACAAGTATTTCAAGTCCTCCTCACTTTCAGCCAGCAGTGTTGGATCATTTGCATAACATAGTCATTCATGACTCTTCCTTCAAGACTGATGCCATGTCCTCTCTCATAGAGTCCAGCTTCTAGAATAATTTACTCAGTATACAGACTGAATAGGCATGGTGAAAGGATACAACCCTGACACATACCTTTCCTAATTTTGAACCATGTAGTGTTCCCATCTTCTGTTTGTACAACAGTCTCTTGGTCTAGCTGTAGGTTTTACATGAGCATAGTTAAGAGTTTTGGGATTCCCATTCTCCTCGATGTTAGATCTCGTTTATCATGACCCACACAGTCAAAAGCCTTTGCATAGTCAATAAAGCACAAATAGCCATTCTTCTGGAATTCTTTGCTCTCAGCCAGGATCTGTCTGACATCAGCAGTGATATCCCTAGGGCCACGGCCTCTTCTAAATCCAGCTTAAACTTCTAGTAGATCTCTGTCTATTATACTGTCGGCTCCAGCTGATCGGCCCGTGATGTCTATGTGCGTAGAGTAACACAATAATGAAAAAAATGTCATATGTCAAGGTTTCGTGGAAAATACTTAGGCCAGGTCCCTAAAAAGATCTTCAACAAAATGAAAGCTAACTACTAAGAAAAGCCAAACAACTTAAACTAGTTAAGACTTAACAACAACAACTCTGTGTAGCGCCATAGCACTGAAGCAGAGCAGGGAAAACTGTCCCTCCTCTCAAGTTTCTGCTTATATATGTTGTTGTTGTTGTTCTGTGCCGTCGAGTCGTTTGCAGCTGTCCTCTAATTCATTCCTCTCAAATCCAACCTGGTCCATCTATAGCTTCAGAATGAAATGTTACACATATTTAGGACGAGCTGCCATGAGTGACGAAGTGAACATAAGGAAACACATGAGCAGGATTCAAAACATGCAAAGATGAACTCAACTTTTGACTCACTATCAACGCAAGAGAGTTTCCCATGGGAAAGACCTCTTCCTTGAAGCAGAATTTGCCTTCTGGGAAAATGCAACCTCCCAAAGGTCGAAATGGCTTTGGGAAAGAGATGGATGACTAACAAGTTCCAGAGAAGCTAAAACCAGCTAAACAAGCCCTGGTGATTGATTGATCAGTGGATGGATAAGAGAAGAGTGTGGTGAGACCCACCTGGAGCTGTATTTCTACACCAAAATTAACCTATTGCCTCTGAGTCAAATCTGACTCACGGTGACTCCGTAGGACAGAGAAGGCCGCCCGTTAGGATTTTCAAGGCTGTAATACTCACAGAAGCAGACTGATCTGATATGTCCTTTTCCCACAGAACAGTTAGGGAGTTCAAACTGAGTTGGCAACAAAACACATTACTCATTATGCCACCAGGCCTCCACTGTGTTTCTAAAAACCTCACTGTGTTGAGTAAATTTCTATTCATAGCAGCCCTCCATTCAGAGGAGACTGCTAATCTGTCTCCCTGGGAGTCGCTGGTGGATTCGAACCACTAACCTTTCCATTAGCTCCAATACAGTTTCCATTCTACCTTCAAAAGTCTCCTCTGTGTGTCTGCACATACGATGTTTAAAACAATAGAACAATTATGTTTAAAACAACAGAATAATTAAAGGACTTACCCTTCTACCCAAGAAATGTTCTTCTCTGATCCGATTTTCAGAAGAACGGGGTAAACTTGGCATTGCTCGAGGCTCCTCCCCTTTGACATTCTGTCTTCTAAAGGTGTGTCTGGAAAACGTGCACAAACACAGCACACTCAACACACACATTTATTAGCTTATTGGTTGAACCAATACTCCTAATATCTTTCATTGGTGGTTCATTTGTAATTAATTATGCTCATGACTTATAATTAATATTAAAAAACAAAAGTCAATGAATGAATGAATGAAACCCTAGTATTTGTGAATTTTCACTCAAATAAAATAAACAGGTAAAAGAACCGATTTAACTCAAAATGTCAACAACGGCCAAGTAAGCTTATATGTTGAATGAACTAGCCCTTCCATTCAACTTGCATGCTTAAATAACTTTATAGTTAATTTTGAAATGACTACCTTTTGGTGGGAATGGGGATTCGGATAAAGGCTTTGTATTTGAGCAATTCTCTGTGAAATTCTTGAAAATGCTTGAATTTCCTCTTCACTTGCCACTTAAATTCTCCATGTGTTAATTCAATGGTGTAAAGATTGATACTTGGTACCTACAGTGAAAGAGAAAAATAAGAGTCTTTTAGAGAACAACAAAGATTCCAAAAATTCTCAATAAACAGTAGTTAATAAGCAGCATAGAAGACTTTTTAAATGCAGCTTATTTATTTTTGTTATTGCATAAATAATTTTTCCCATTCCTTAATTCTGGATTAAAACATAAACCCCTCTTAAATGTCACCTACAAGGAGCTCTGGTGGTCTAGTGATAAGAATCTGAACTGCAATCTCAAAAGGTGTGTGGTTTGAATCCACCAGCTGCCCCATGAGAATAAGTTGGACAATCTCTTCCCAGGTGATTTACTGCCTCTGAAAAGTCCACTGAAGGTTCAGCTATGAGTTGGCTCTAATTTGATGGCACACAACAACAACAACAACAACAACAACAAATATCATCTACAGAACACAGATTTTTTTAATTAAACACTCCTAATAATCCTATCTTCCCACACCATCCCCCCAAAATAAACCCAGACCTATTGTTCTTGTGTCAGTTTCTACTCACCGCGCCCATAAATGCACACCAGAAACCAGGAAGGGAACAATATGAGAAAAGACCCTAGCTATGAATTGTGATGTTGAAGAAGAGTACTGACTAACCCTTGGACGGCCAAAGAACAAACAGATAAGTCTTGGGAAAAGTGCAGCCAGATTGTTCCTTGGAGGCAAAGGTGGTGAACTGTAGTCTCTCATACTATGCGCATGTTGCTAGGAGAGGCTATGGCTTAGAAACATGGAGCTTGCTCGGAAACGTGGAAAGTTAGCTAAAGAGAGGAAGTCCCCCTAACGAGATAGATTGGCACCATGTCTGCATCAAGAGCTCTAGTGTGTCAGAGATGACAGGGACGGCACAGGACAGGACAGGGTTCATAGGGTGGTTATGCTTCATACTTGGCTCAAGGGCCCTTAACAAAAGCAACAACGTTATAGGGGTCTCATCCAACAGACATTTGGAGGGCAAGAGGATGTACTGTACTCTATTTTGGATTACATCCAAAAGACCAGCAGTTCAAAACCACCAGCCACCAACATGAAAAAGTTGATGGTTGTCATGAGTTTGAATAAACTCAGTGGCACTGAGGGTGGTTTTGGGTAGTGGGATGGGAGGTAAAAAGACGTTAGGGACACCATCACATCTGTTCCCTCACACAAGCTGTACTTGTCGTCTCCCAAGACCCTTTGGACCATTTCATGGTCCAGCCCTGTCTACGTTCCCCCACCTCTTTGAGGTGCCATCTATGGCCAGGAAAGAAAAGGACTGTTGTTGTTGTTGTTGTGTGACAAGAAGTCAGAACCAACCCAGAGCTGACCACCCAGTGAGTTTTTGTTGTTGTTATGTGCCATCAAGTCACTTGCGACTCATAGCGACCCTATGTACAAGAGCCCAAAATGCTGTTCTATCCTGTGCCAACCTCGCTGTCTCAGACACACTCATTCCCAGCACTCCACTCACAGAATCGATCCATCTCATCGAGGGTCTTCTTTCCTGCGCCGTCCCTCGACTCTCCCAAACGTGATGTCCCTCTCCAAGGACCAGTCCCTCCTTGCAACATGCCCAAAATATGTCAGACGAGTTTTTAGAGACAGTAAATCTCATGGGAGGAGACTGTCCATCTTTCTCCCGCAGAACAACTGCTGGATTTGAACCATGTGACTTCTGGTTGGCAGTGAAGCTTTTTTTTTTTTTTTGGTCTATTTAGGCTTTATTGACTACGTGGATTATAATACGTTATGACTAACATTAAGAAGAATGGGAATCCCAGAGCACTTAATTTTGCTCTTGTTTTTTTTCCTTCTATAATTATATTTTATTAATTTTCATAAACATTTACAGAGATTTTGGGTTTCCA